TCGCAGTTAATATTCAGCATCACGGATTTTCTACTGCCACTTTATCCTCAATTTATCTGTTTTTAATTTCACATTTAGAAATCAGATCGATGCAACTGAGAAGACGGCGAAATGTGCGTAAGAGATGGAGCAAAAATATATACCTATATAATTATGTTATAAAAGATTATAACTTGGATCGTACATTACTTTTAACGGACCTGTAACGTCATGAGATTATAACAAGGAGAAGAAGGAAGTGGTACGGCGAAAGACTCACCTACGCGGCTCAGACGTACGTGTCTCCGATTATTGTTATCTTGTCTTTCTTTTAATTTGACTCTACGTTTTTCTCAATTCAATACACAGATTTGACAAGGTAATCGCATAATTACTGCTTGCTAACCAAGTGCTCATTTCGAAAAATGGAATAATGAAAGATTAGCAAAAAAATCGAACAAAAAATCTCATTTCCAGTTCTGTTACGTGTTTGTAATGGAAATATTGAAAAGATTTAATGATGGCCATCGGGGAGATTACTTTTCTGAAAAAAATCTAGCAAATGGATCAAAAGACACAAAAATACAAAACAGGGAAAATATGGACATTTGTGAGATGTTTTTCTCAAAATAATCAATAACTAACAATATAACAATCGTACAATCGTAATGATTATAAATCAATTTAATTGGATAAAAAATTACTTGACCAAAACTCTCTGCGTTATGAGAACCATTCAAGATTGGCAGGCTACAATAAAAGCCTGAACTCAAGCACAGAAGAAAAATAAAAAGAAAAACAATGCAGAGAATGATGTGATGTGTAATTGTAATCCTATAAAAGAATGAAATATCATAACGAATAAAAAAAAAACGTGCAAACAATCATAAGATACTGATAGCAATAAAACGCGTATCGTAGATAAATAAGGCATCGAGAAGAATTTTACCAAAAACTATAGTTATAAATTACATATCGCATGTTTATTGTGCACTAGCCAAACGAGAACAAGTAACTAAAGATTTTTACACAAAGATACAAACATCAGTCAGAGATAAACTTGCAGTGCAAATAAAAAAATTAATATAATAACAATTCTATAACTTACAACATAATACGTTCCAAATAGAAAAGTGGAAATTAATAAAATTATAATTCATGTGACCAAATCCACCAATCTAACGATCGACTAAAAATATTAATTTTCATTGAAAAACAAAATCAAATTATCGTATAAGATAAACCGATTGTCTTAACAGTCTTAAAATATTAGAATCAGAATGTATCATAATAAACAGTGAGTGAATATCTCGAGTATTTTTTCTTCAATTTATCATAACTTAAAAAATAAAGCCTAGAAACAATATTTCAAGACAAAATAAAGTGCAGCTTTTTGTGTTTGGTAAACAGACACAAGAATATTGCAAGGTTGTAACACTTGTCAAAGAGTAATTCTTACGAATGCTATGCTCTTGATAGCTCACTTGCACAAACCGAAGTCAAAACGAATAATAGACATTTGTCCGCATGAAAATCAAAAAGAGACGATCCCCTGATTATCCGCTGCTGTTTTATTACAACATTATTGTTTTGCATTATAACAGTTTGCGTATTTAATTTATTTTACTACCGTTAAATCGAACGAACTAAAATGAATACGACGTCAACTTTAATAGTCTTTGCGATGCTCGAATGGCGAGGCACAATACATAATCTTTCAGCATTGAATCTCTCGTTATATATTCTTTTTAGATTATATTAATATTTTTATTTTTCAATTTCTGCTATTCCGGCAACAGAAAACACGTTATTAGAAGATGCGTGAAAAGTATAGAAAGCAATATTTTTACGTGGGTGGCCTGATGACAGATCGAAACGTACGTAATTTGATAAATAAATTCTTCCTTTCCGCCAAAAAAAAAATACAAATTTGCAAAACCAATAGCAAAGAAATAAAAGAAATATTATCAAATTCGTTAAACAAAATGAACTTAACGAACAGTACTTAATTTTGCTAAAAATATTAAATGGTCGTTCTACTCTGTGAAAACAAAAGATATGTATAATTTGTGCCCCGCGGCTCTCGCGCGGAGCGAAACGTAATATTGCTTAATCTCTGGCGCGTTTAAAAATGCTTTTAGCGATTTTTACGAGCATTAGGGTATTATTCACCGATGACATAGTAGCGTAGTATATCCTACATTACGTTACTGTATTTTTCCATACATCCTAATGTATAAAGATTTTCCATTAACAGAAACCGAGTGATGTGGCAAACATTTAAAAAAGTGGAGCATTTTTTATATTTCTTTTTTTTTTCTTTCATGACGTTAACAATTACAATAATTACACGTGTTATTCAAGACCTGAATAGATCGTGAGACTTAAATCACACCCGATAGATGTGCGCTATTGCGTCAAATATGCAGATTAAGAAGCGCGGAACGAACCAAGGACATGTCAATGCAAAAAGCGCATAACTCTTACGCAGCGATGTTCGAGTAATGTTAAATCTTTCTACGTCGATGAGTCCGAATAAAAAGAAAAAAGATATATATACGTAGATCGAATTTTTGAAAAATGCACAAGTATTTTTGTCGCGAAAAGAACTGTATAATAAAATCCTTCAAGTGAATTATTAAGTGTAGTCAGACTTTAGCCATCATTCTAAATTCTAATTCTCGGTTTATGACGTGTATAACTGATTCACAAATAAAGCCATTACTAGTTTTTAAATAAAAATTTAGAAAAAAATACGTTTATAGTATCTTTTAACATGTTGATAAAAATTAATATATCTCTTGACATGTATCTTAAATTAGAGACTGTCTCAGTATTGACTCGTAATTAAACGATTTTTAATATCGGATTTAATAACCAATTGTTAATGTCACTAAAGATGGCCGAATGTTGCGGCCGAAACGTAAGAATTGCATTTATTATAATAAAGAAAGATTTTGAAGCACCGACATCGTGCGCGGCTCTCTCTCTCTCTCTACATAATTTATCAACTCAGCTGGATTGAAATATATATGTTTTTTATATAATATTAATATATATAAATAATATTTTAATATTATTATATAACATTATATAATATTAATATATTGTGTGCTAGCACATAA